TTTTTTGGTTGCAGCCGTCATTGTTTGGCAGGTCCGGGCTGGGGATTCGAACCCGCCACCTTAGGTGTACGTGGCTGGCCCCTTAGCCAGTTGAGCTATAGGCGCCGAGCCAATAGTCTTTTCATCAGTGAGAATTAAGTTTAACTTTATTTGGCTGTAGGTAGTTGGGAATGGTTTAAAGGGATTTTTTTTTTGCAGCTGCAGTTGTATCATGGGCTTCTTCCTATGATGGGAGAATTGTTTAAAGATTAAGTCAATCTATTTTGTTTACTGGATATAATCGCAAGACCAGTGATGGGAGCTGAAGGGGTGGGGGAAGTGCTCCACTTTTATTTGGTCCTTGAACATTTCCTTACAAGACTCAGAATGTTTCAGACCTGTCTGAAAGTTATTTGGGAATAGACAGAGGAAGTTAGAAGAAGCTTATATGGATAACCGTCTTCACAGACTTAAATGAGTTGTGTCATCCATCCTTGTGTTTCCAGACCAAAAGGCATTCAAAACCAACTGTACTATTAATCCATCTTATTTTGCTTTTAATCCATCTGATTTTGCTGACAAAGCAAAATATTACTGGATGTACTAGATTGCATTATTGATACAGCATTAGGTTCAAAACTTGATAAAAAAGACTTTCTTTGTGTGTAATTTAAGAAAAGGACTTAAAAGGCATATAGAAGAAGTCTAAAGGTAAACCTTGTGGATAGCATAATCTGGACATAGGAATTTGAAAGATTTATACTATGATTCTAACCAGTTCTTAAAAATTAAAAAAAAAATTTCCAGTTATTTCTTAATTTTATTTTTTCACTTCTTCTCAGTTTATCTCTAGGCTTATTTACCGTGTCAGAAAAAGATAGTTTTCTAAATTTTAAAAGATGAGTGATTTTGATTATATGCCCAGTAATTCAGGAACATATTTCTCTTTCCTTCCTCAGTGTTAAAAGACCTTCAGCTTCATTATGTACATTGTGGAATCAAAGTCACCACCATCCATTAATAATTAAGGACATGAGTATTTAAAACAGCATTTTTCTATATTCCTTATGTTGTAATTAAGAGAAAGATACATAGGACAAATTATTCCTTATGTTTTTCTCTCACAAAGTTGAACTACACTAATCTTGAGATGCAAAAGTGTAAGCGTTTTTTTGGGAGACTGAGGCAAGAGAATCGCTGAAGCCCCAAAGTTTGAGGTTGCTGTGAGCTGTGATGCCACGGCACTCTACCTAGGGCGACATAGTGAGACTTGTCTCAAAAAAAAATAAGGGTTTTCAGTGTTTGGCATAATGTAGTTATATACGTTTATTATAGAAATATTTGAATTGGAGTTCACTTTAAAGTTGGAAACGTCTGATTTAGATGGAGCACAGAGAGGTTAAGTGACATAGCAGATTTAATAACAAGAGCCTCCATGTGCAAAGTATTGAATGCTGAATAATCAGGGGAATACTTTTTTTTTTTTTTTTTTTTTTGGAGATAGTCACTGTGTTGCCCTGAGTAGAGAGCTGTGGTGTCACAGCTCACAGCAACCTCCAACTCTTGGGCTTTAGTGATTCTCTTGCCTCAGCCTCCCAAGTAGGTGGGACTACAGGGCCCGACATAATGCCCAGCTATTTTTTGTTGTGGTTGTCAATTGTTTAGCTGGCCCAGGCTGGGTTTGAACCTGCCAGGCTTGGTGTATGTGGCTGGCACTGTAACCACTGTGCTACGGGCTCCGAGCCAGGAATACTTTTCCTAAGTATCCCATAGAATTTGTCTTAATAATCTATTAATTATAATTAGAGTTTACATTTTTTTTTTTTTTTTTGGGAGGAGAGACCAAGCCCTGCAGGTACTGAGAGATAATTTGTATAAGAATTTTAAGTGTTTCAGCTACTCAGAAAAGTTTCACGTTTTGGCAATATTGTCTGTACTTTTTTTTTTTTTCTGAAACAGAGACTCACTTTGTTGCCCCCAGGCTTGAGTGCTGTGGCCTCAGCCTAGTTCACAGCAATCTCAAACTCCTGGATTCATGGGATCCTCCTGCCTCAGACTCCCGAGTAGCTGGAACTACAGGTGCCCACCATGCTGCCTGGCTAATTTTTCTATTTTTAGTAGAGCTGGGGTCTAGCTGTTGCTCAGGCTGGTCTTGAACTTTTTAGCTCAGGTGGTCCACACCTCCCCCCTTGGCCTCCTGGAGTGCTAGCAGCTCTATTTTACTGGGCATAGAGGGTGTCAAGTTTTTCTCTTTTATTATAACTGTTGAACCACTTAAGTCTCCAGGGACCGGGAGCATGTCTAAAGATGGCAGCTGTGTTTATGATTGAATTGATGTTTTGGTTGGACTTCTAATATTTGATGAAATTAAAGCAGGAATGCATTATTGGCCACTGCTGATTATAGACATACTGAACTCTGATGGGTATTGCTTAGCAACTTAGTGCAGTTGACTCAGTTAAAAGAAGTGGTGTTCCATCTTGATGTTTTGAGCTCAGATCTTTGTGGGTAAAATGAAATTTCTGTAACCTGCTCATACTGTACTGAAAGCTAAAATTTATGACCTAAGTTCAATGAGTGCTTCTAATTTTAGAACTAATCACATCCTTGATTAGGGAATTGACAGTTGCAAAAGTGGACAACCAGAAAGCTGAATGTGTAAGTTACATCTTGGCGCTTCTCCTTAACTTGCCTTTGTGGTACCAATAGAAAGTTCCTAAATTGAAACTGGCAAGTTTTAGGTGTGTAGCTTTAACTCATGGTTCATTAGCCCAGTTCCTTTCTTTCTTTTATTTTTTTTTGAGACAGAGTTTCACTCTATGGCCTGCCAGGCTATTTTTTGTTGCAGTTGCCACTGCTGTTTTAGCTGGCTAGGGCCGGGCCGGTTCAAACCCACCACCCTTGGTATATGGGGCCTGCGCCCTACCCACTGAGCCATAGGCTCCGCCCATTAGCCCAGTTTCTTAACAATTTAGAGCCTTCTTGCTTATCTCATTTTAGCTCTATATGCCCCACCAGTATAGAGCTTTATTTCTGAAAGGAAGTAAGGGGAAAATATGCGTATTTGAAGTTTTTTTCCAAAAAAATTTTGAAGTCATCCCCAAATGGTATCTTGTAAATATGTTCATTTTTAAAAATTATTTATTTTATTTTTTTATTTTTTAGAAACAGTCTCACTTTGTCACTCTAGGTAGAGTGCTGAGGCATCACAGCTTACAGCAACTTCCAGCTTTCGGGCTTAGGCGATTCTTTTGCCTCAGCCTCCCAAGTAGCTGGGACTACAGGTGCTAGCCACAATGCCTGGCTATTTTTTTTTTTTTTTT